GATGGGGTAAGATATGATAAAATAATAATAATTTATAAATTATCAAGGTTTCAGGGGAAGGGGGAGCGGGGAGGGAGGGGGAAAAATGAGCTGACACCAAGGGCTCAGGTGGAGAGCAGGTGTGAGAATGATGAAGTCAGCATATGTACTAATGTGCTGGACACAAATGATGTATGTACGGATTGTGATGATTTGTATGAGCCCCTAGTAAAATGATTATTAAAAAACAAAACAAAAATACGTGTTTCTGCAGTCAGAGGATGGCTGTAGAGTTTAAGAACCCCATACCTCCTTTGGTTGAGTGCTCTGGGTCTCAGAACCAAAATGCTGGCAGCAGGAAGCTCCGAGACGCCTCCCAATCAACAAAGAGAATAGCTCAGAAGGGCAGGCCTAGTTCTTTTCAGGATTGCAACGCAGTCATCTTGATGATGGTCCTGGGAAGAAATTCACTGAGAAGAAATTTGAAGATCGGCAGCTGCATGAGTGAAGAAAGGGGCAGGAAAGCTCTTGGCAAGAATGTTCCCCGTCAGAGCAACGGACCTGCTTATGCTTTGAGAGCAGCAAGGGCGGTCCTCTAAGAAATTCACGGGGAAGTCTTGCCGCATCCACCTTACAGCTCCATCTGGCCCTTTCAAACTTCTTTTAGCCTCTTAAAACTTAAAGAATATTTGAAAAGGACCAGGGTTTGAGTCCCTTGAGGGTGCTAAGATTTCCCTCTCTGTGTAATGATAATCAAAGAGCGCTGAATTCTTGGTGGAAGGGTTAGAGAGATGCAAACCTCCGTCACAAGTGGATCGTCCTAGATGGAGTGTATGTCAAAAAACAAGAGTTTCACATTTTGACACTTTCATTTAATAAAAAGTAACACAATTCTGGAACAATGCTTTTTGACTTACTCTCATAAAGCTATTAACTGGCTCAGAGATCTCATTCATGCAGGATTTTGAGGATTTCTCTTAGTGCCAATAAGTGTGTCTCTGTGTGTGTTTGTAACAAGATACTGACTCAGAGTTTGATGACCCTAAGTTGATACTCTTGTAGTTGGTAGGTGCCATTATGTCACCTCTGACCCATAATGACCTTATGCACAACAGAACGAAACACTGCATCGTCCTGTGCGGTCCTCACAACCGTTCCCATCCCTGAGCCCATCGACGCAGCCACTGGGTCAATCCATCTCACAGCTACTAACTGTTCAACTTTCTAAATAGAGTGAGCCACATTATGCCCAGACATCTCTTCCCAGGTCTAGCTGGGAGTCTACAGAACCCACATGGCTTCCATCTCTAAGATTACCAGATATAATACAAATAATTCATGGGGCATACTTATATTATGAAATTATCTGATCTGATGTTTATTTTGAGAACCCATATTGGGCTGCTAATGGCAAGGCCTACGTGTTGAAACCAGCAGCCACTCCTCAGAGAATTCCAGTCTTGGAAACTCACAGGGACAGCTCTTCCCTGTCCTATAAGGTCCCTATAACTCATGCGCTGAGTTGGTTGGACCTCATTTTTGCTGTTATTATTATATTGGGCAACCCTGAGCCCGATCTCCGAGTTGCTAGTGAGTTCTTACTTAGGGAGAAGGAAGTCTCCTTCTTCACCAAACCGAGTGGCCGGAGAAGCCCAGAATGTCTGCACACAGTGGGAAGTGTGGTGTCCACCACAGGGTGGACGAGGCTAACCTGGAGCCTGGGGGTTGCCCAGTGCTGTCATCTGAAGTGAAGCTGGGTTTTGGGGAGAGCTTGACTGTATTATGTGGAGTTTGGTACATGGTCACGGAGAGGAAGTTCTGCCTCCTGCCTCGACACTTCTGACAGTAGACTGCTTGGTAGGGCAGCGGGTGAAAAACTATGCTACTGGGGACTGTGAACTCTTGCCCCGGAAGAGCAGGAAGGGAGTGCGAAACACGCTGCCTCCGTTTCCTGGGGTCTTCAGGAGTGATCAAAGCGAAGGACCCCTGCAGTGTCCCCGGCCGCACCCAGGATGGAGCTTGGACTTGGAAGAAGAACCAGACGCACTGTCAGCGAGGTGATTCCAACTCATCGTGATCCTCTGGAACAGGAGAACCGCCCTGTGGGTTTTTGCGACTGTATCTATTTACAAGAGTAGAAAGCCTCATCTTTCTCC